AGTGCGAGCATTGCATCTTACCTCAGACTTCGTAGTAGGTTCTACGATCGATTTTAAGGACGGATACGTCGGTTGTATAAGAGCACTACTTCTCAATGGTCAATTGCAAGACTTGAGAAGTTATGCTCGGCAAGGATTGTACGGCATTACGGAAGGTTGTGTTGGTAGATGTGAAAGTAATCCTTGCCTTAACAATGGCACATGCCACGAAGCATATGATGGATACTGGTGTGACTGCCGGTGGACCGCATTTAAGGGACCAATTTGTGCAGACGGTAAATAAGAAAGATGTTTTCAATGCGAAATGTTCAATAAAATTGATTGCTATTAATTTCTCTTAGTTAATATTATTTACAATAATAAGATTGGAAATAAGACCGTTTATGTTAGATACATTACTTTAAATACGAAGTGCCACTACGGTCTGTTAAGATGTTGAACTATTATGTATATTCATTTAAATGAATTAATTTCAGAAATTATAATTGCGTGCCGATATGGTTGTCGGACTTTCAACGCAATAAGTTTATTACAGTTTTTTTTAAATTAAATTTGGGAAATTTGGAGAGATTATTAATATTTTAGATTGATTGCGTTGAAAGTTCGACATTTATCGGCACGCAGTTATAATTTCTGAAATTAATTCATTTAAATAAAGATATATAATAGTTCAACATCTTAACATTCAGGCCGTAGTGCTTCGTATTTAAAGTAATGTATCTAATATTATTTAAATATTTTCAGAGATTGGCGTATACATGAAACCTAATTCGATGATAAAATACGATTTCATGGGTAGCTGGCGTTCCACTATCTCTGAAAAAATACGCATTGGCTTTACGACAACGAATCCGAAAGGATTTCTATTGGGTCTATTCTCCAATATTTCTGGAGAATACATGACTATAATGGTTTCAAACAGCGGACATTTACGCGTAGTATTTGACTTCGGTTTCGAACGGCAGGAAGTCATATTTCCGAAGAAACATTTCGGTTTGGGACAGTATCACGATGTCAGGATCGGCAGGAAAAAATCTGGTGCTATTTTGACATTGCAGGTTGATAATTATGAGACGAAGGAATTTGAATTTAATATAAAGCATTCTGCAGACGCGCAATTCAACAATATTCAATACATGTACATCGGTAGAAACGAGTCTATGTCAGAGGGATTCGCGGGCTGTATATCGAGAGTTGAATTCGACGACATATATCCGCTGAAGCTACTCTTTCAAGAGAACGGACCTGCTAATATCCGCTCACTCGGTCCTCCAGTAGCCGAAGATTTCTGCGGAGTCGAACCGATCACACATCCGCCATATATTAAAGAGACGCGACCACCACCTCAGGTAGATGAGGAAAAAGTGAGAGCGGCATATAATGAGACTGACACAGCTATTCTGGGAAGCGTATTAGCGGTTATTCTGATTGCACTTGTGATCATGGCGATTCTTATAGGCAGATATATGTCTAGGCATAAAGGTGAATACTTGACGCAAGAAGATAAGGGTGCTGAAATTGCTCTGGATCCGGATTCAGCGGTCGTAAACTCTGCCACTGGTCATCAAGTACAGAAAAAGAAAGAGTGGTTTATTTAAAAACTGAAATGCATCATATTATAGATATGTATGCGTTAAAGAGAAGTAACAAGTACACATTAAATTAATCTAAAATTATATATACATTTTTAATAAGGATAGAATCTCTTTTGCTCCATTCAACCATTGATCTTTTCATATATATCATAATTTTGTACAGAGAAATACAAATGTAGAATCCAAAATAATGGTTAGAAATCAGAAAAACGAATTTTTTAATTCTGTTATAAAACCCATATAATAGTTTTATTAAAAATACTTCAATTTTTTATTATTTAAGTCTAATTATTAATTCTATTTAAAGATTTTTTTGTATATATATATATATATATGGTGTTGTCTCTCTGTA